TTTGACCCCTTTTTTGCAACTTCGAGGACCAAACTGACCCTTTACTCGAATTTTTTCAAAACAAATATCCTACGAGTATATTGTAAACTTTCAATAAAGGTTCCTATTTAAACTGACAGTTTAAACAATGTCATATATGTTGTAATCGGGATATGCATCTTGCTGGTATATGTTAAGAGTTTATTGGTTTACATTGGCAGATTAAGTGATACCAAATAGAATCTAATTTAATTAGTGTATACATATGTCATAGGAGTTACAGAATTGGTCATAATCACATCAGAAAGATTTCAAGTGCATAAAACTAAATGGTTCTTAACACATAGTTATTCATAATAAAGACACTGGAGGATTTCAACGAAAAAAATTCAAGATCAAATTTATTTAAAAACTTACTATGCGTCATCAGCCATCACGAATCTGGCAGACTAAGTTTCTGGGTTAAGCCATGATGAAACAACCTTAAATCAACTTGAAGATAAAAAACAGTGCAAAATGAGACTTCCACACAAACAACAAACCCAAATTGAAAGTTGAAACCCTATTATCAAACAAGTTTAGCAGCACAATGCATAATGAAACAACAAACCAAAGCCAAAGTTGAAACCCTATATGGTTAGAACAAATAACCAAGAAATTGGCGACTCAAAGTGTGAGCTAACATCTTTGTATGAGCAGTAAAATGTTAGACACTAGAATGCACTTAAAACACCCAATTTGAACAATCCAAATTATAGTTTTTGAATCCCATCTTTGAATAACAACTAAGCTATGAGCGTAAGTAAAGAAAGTAAGGTTTGAGGGAGCCGACCAGATCTACTTGTGAGTGAGAGTATGCTAACCGTTTGTATTTTTGGACTTTAAAGGGGCGGGTTAAGTAAATCATGAACTTGGGGCTACAAGTATAGCAGGCCTAGGGAGTCTATTAGTAATGCGAAAATGATTAGTTCCTCATCTCTTAATCTATCCTTAATCATAAATAAATACGAGTACCATAAAAGAGATTTTTGCAATAGATTTTTAGATGCAATTTAAACTACACATTACAAATCTAAGAGCATCTCCAAGTGGATTGGGGTAAAGTCTATCCTATGTGGCACAGGAGAGATAGAGATAGAATGATTATTTTAATTTAATATGGATCGGAGAAAGTCGTGAAAAATGAAAAGGAAGAGAGAGATAAGAGTAAATTGTAAACAATGTCTATGTTCACAAATAGACTTTACACGGGAATTGAGGAACAAAAGTGGATCAAAAGTGGATTAAAAGTGATATAGAAAAATGAAAAACAAAATAAATGTGAAGATATATAGGTTCTACACATAAAACTTGTGAGATAAAAAATAGGACTCATGTAAGAATGTGTAAGAGAGTAGACATCTCCATTGGAGATGCTCCAAGAAGAAAAGAGTGTGAGATAGAAAGTTACTCCCTCCGTCCCAATTTGTTTTGCAAAGTCAACAATTTTTTGTCAACCAATAATAAAAGTCAACCCTTCTTATGGATAATTAATTCAGTTTTTAATAATCAAAATTTACATATTCAAAAACTACATTAAAATATCTTCAAAGTTGTAAACTCCAAATTAGAATATAATTAAAAATTGACATCCTAATTAAGTAAACAAAACGAGACTGTTTGACTAAGAAAAATCAAATTTGCAACTCTTTTTGGGACGGAGGTAGTACTCCAAAGAGGGAGATTCCAGCGCCAGTAAGAGCAAGAGAGGGAATAATACCACCGGTGAGATGCGGCTGAAAACAGGAGAGGGAGAGAGATGTGGCTCATCGCAAATTAGCACTAGTGTAGACATGTCCTCGGCCATCCGTGCGATGTATGAGCTACAAAACTACAATGATAGAATCAATAAGGAATGTGTTCATAAGAACTTATGAAGAAAAACACAAAGTAAAACTAAAATCTGGCAATGAATTTATACATCGGATTGTAAAGCTGCCTGAGATGATCGGCGAAAACGATGGGTTTTAGCTGGTTCCATAGAAAACTCCAACACCTCATCTTTGTTGATCGGAAGAGGGTAAATAGTAAAGGTGACAACTCCGGTACCCTTTTAAAAAATGGGGTACCGTATCTACTATTCATTTGATTGGACAACATCACTTTATCATTTTTAATTTAAATTTAAATTAATTCAACTGCAAAATTCTCATTGGTCCATGTGGATAAATGTATGGTACCTTATGCGTACCCTAGAATCTACCAATAGTAAATACAGGGTAGGAATGCTGCTTTCGGATGGAGAGAAGCGGCTTGGAATGTCTACTGGGTTGTCTTAGTTTGACTTGACACGGTTATTAATGAAGTGGTTGAAAAAGTAAAATTTGTGGTTGAAAAATTAAAAGTTGTGGTTGAGGTTTGAGTATAATAAAGTGAAATGGTGTAGACCACATATTTTTTTCCAAAAAAGGAAAGGAGACACTTATTTTGGGACAACCAAAAAAGGAAAGTAGGACAGGTAAAATGGAATGGAGGGAGTACTAATATTGAGTAATTGAAACACAATAATTATCATGAGCCCCGGCCGATCCCAGAGTAAAAAATATGTTTGAATAGTAGTGTAAAATTTGGTCCAACAATTTATAGAAAAATAACCTTTCTACTAGCATTGTCCGGTATATACATTTAACCATTTAAATGGATAGTAGATTTCATAAGCTATCAAGCGTGAATGATTGAAGATAGTAGTGTAAAATTTGGTCCAACAATTTATAGAAAAATAACCTTTCTACTAGCATTGTCCGGTATATACATTTAACCATTTAAATGGATAGTAGATTTCATAAGCTATCAAGCGTGAAAATACTACCAAGTAACAAAGGTTGTACGGGTTTCAATAGTTTGAAGATAAATATTGTAAATCCAAAAGTTTTTCAAAACATTTAGATTCTTTTGTATTTGAATCTAAAATGTGAGGAAGAGGTATAGTGAATATTGGCTTAGATTGACAGATAAGGCGGCTAGATTACATTATTGTTGGGATTATAGAATAATTTACATATACACACACTAAGGATTGAGTTTGTATAATGTAGTGTGTAGTGTTGGGCCAAAATGTATATCGATTTATAATAATTAATAATAAAATAAGTGTCTATATTTATATTTTTAAAAATGTTTCTATATTTATTTAAAAGATTTGTTTTCAAAAACTGTGTAATGTGTTTTATCAGGCTAGGTTTATGTGAATAGTGGAATACTTAATCCCCTAATCCACCTAGTTTTATTACTGTTCCATAGTGTAAAATTATCACGTGTTGTGTGAATCATGTTGAAATGTTGAATAATTGGAGATATAAATCCACTATTGTCAACATATATTTTTTCAAGTAAGTTTAATTTTCACAGATTTTCCCATGTGAATAGAAAAAAGTTAATGCCAAAATAACAATTAAAATTTCTGTTTTCTAGAAATAAATCTACATGTTGATCAAAATAACAACCTAATACTATATATTTAAAAAGCTATCCCGGTTTTATTGATTTTGTTTGCGATTTCATTGGTAACAACATATAGTGATTAACGTCTATATGTTTTTATTGTGTCATGTATGTTTTTCACTTTCCTTTAGATTTTATTGTGTTTAAAATATTTCCATTTTAAGGGTATTATAAATTACAAATGTTCCATGCAACGCACGGGTATTATACTATTGTCAACAGAAGAAATATTTAAAATCATCCCCTTACAATATCATATAGTGTTCAGCCAAATTTGTGAAAATAATTACTTCATAATAGACACAGTAAGCTATATATGTAAGATTAACGACTCTAAGTTGGAGAGTTTCATTCTTTTGTATTTTTTGCATTATGTAGTGAAGTATATATATTTGAAGTAAATTTAACTTATATTGAGGTTTTAATTTCTTTGAAGTAATTGCATACTTTGATTACATAATGTTTTAATTTGTAAATTAGTCGAACTAATAAGTAATTCAAGTACTTAAGTCATTCATGAATAGAACTTACTGGGTCTGAATTGCATGTGCGAAGAATGCTATAAGGCTGTTTTTTGTCAAATACTTTGTATGTCTTTTGAAATTACTCGGTCATAGTGAAATTATGGTTATTTTTCAAAAGATATTGAAAGTGTGGTTAGTTTTTACAATTCTAGGATATCATACATTTCATACGATTTAATATACATAAATATATATAAATTCAAATTAATCATAATTAAAGTCACAAAGTGATTTTTATGGTTTTAAAAGTAAACACTTACTATGAATATTTAAGAATTATATATTTATAAATCTATAATAAATTAAATTTGAATAATATATATTACAATGGAGTATATGAAATTAATTTTATGGGTTAACGTCATTAGAATTCCGAATAACTTTCACGTTAACTGTGTGATGAAAGAAATATCAAATATATAAAAACAGTGTGCACCACATATAAATGTGTAGTGTTTAAAATTATATATAATTACAAAATTTTGACTTAAACTAAATTTATTTATTATAATGTGATATCATTAGTATATTGCTTTTGGTAATAATAACTTACGTTTAATTTTACATTTATGTGACTAAAACAGTATACAATAGGACTTTAATGATATTTTTGTAAATGAATTTTATTTCAATAATCTTTTAATAAGAAATCTTATTTTTTTTCAAAACTAATTTCAAATTTTATAATTTAGACTAGGAGTAAAAAGTTAACTTGTTATTAATTATTAAAACTTGAATTTAAAACTCAAAACACTAAAGCCAACAATCATTAACTGTTTTTTAATTTACTTCCTGCGCAGACTCTTCTATCCATCTTCTAAAATAGGACCATTTCATTATTGTTGCATCTTTTCACTCTCGCATTGATTAGATCTGTCGCCATACCTCCAAGTTTCTCTGTCACATCGTGGGGCCCAACAGGGATGGAAAATGGCAGACCCTTCAAACTTCGGACCTGTCCTTTTCCGTCATCCCCATCCTTTTGATCACCCTCCTCTTCCATTGAACCAAAGTCATGAAATTCCTGACACCTTTCCGGAAGTGCAATGGAGTCTGGAACCCACTGACGCTCCAAATAATCCCACTCTCTCGCATCCAAGTTGTCCTTTTAACGATGTTCATCCATTTCCTGGTCAACCAAACGCCGCCTCTAATACCTTTGTGGACCCTCTGCTTCAAGAATTATTACTTCAGGAGTGCTTCCCCGATACCGGAGTTTCGAGAAGTTTCCCAGAGGTTAATGGTCATGGTGCTCCGGAGTACGCAGAGAACCCGACGACATCGACCACTGCTATATGGCCGACAATGGCTTTACCGTCTCCGACGTCTATTTGCAATGCATGCCTGGTCCTTCGGGAAATAAGTCATACAAATGGTGCGTGTTGTACAGCAAATCAAAGGTTCTACATTTCACTTGCAAATATGGAAACTTCAATTGCATGGAAGTATTGGGATGATCACTCATGCAGTCCTAGAGAAACTCTCTTCAGACTTTTCTCTGCATCCACAGTACCAAACTTTCGAGTAAGATGATTAGTTAAATAATTAATCCTTCCCATACGTCTGCAAACCTTAATCACTACTGACCTTTTCATATAAATTACTTATATTAAACAAAATTTGTTACCTATACTGGAAGATTTAAAGAGTTTCATTTGTCGAGGCTTTGCATAGCCTCCTAACTTCGCACATGGTCTCCTGTGATTTTTACTCCCTCACATATGTTTACTCTTTACAAAAATTGCACTAAATAGGAGTAAAAACATAGGATTATTATATTTGTATTCCTTAAATAGGATTAATTATTGTCATATATTGGTATTATCAGACTTTAAACATGATATATTTTCAAAGTTTGACAATAATTACTTTGATTTAGGAAATAAAAACATGTTAGTCAGATTTTAGAATTTCAAAACATTTTTGCTCCCACTTCCAAATAATTCATTGGTTTCTTTTCTGAAAGTGTTGCAACACTCATCCCTTTTAGCAACTACTCCCTCCGGTTCACATTCTCCTTGACACTTCGGAAAAAATGCTTGACTGACGATAAAGCAACTCGATTGCTGTTCATACTCAGATTATTTTTAGTAAATAAAATTTACATATTCAGAAACTACATTGGAACTGCTACAAAGCCTGATCAAGAATATTTAAATTCGATAAAAATTTGATATATAAAGTAAAATATTAAGAGTGACTTGAGTTGACCAATGAATAGTAAGTGACGTGCACTTGTCGTGGTGTGCACTCAAAATAAATATTCAATACGACACTAATACTTCTCTTTTTATAGAAATAAATAAGTAATAACAGGGGGGTTTTATGTTTGGTTGATGAACTTAAATTATCTTTAAACACGAAGATGAACGAGTTATGTGGTTTAATTAATGAGAATGGGACTTGGTTTTGCTTTTATCCACTTAATGAAATGTTCGTCGATCCCGGTTATATCTTTAACTATCTTCCTCGATCTCGAATACTCAATCGAGGAGTATATCCAATTCATCGAGGGTAGTTATTAATAACGAGACGCGTTCATTAATAAAACTTACTACCGAGTTTATATAGAACACGCGCCGCCATATATTCACTCGATAGTAGCAATAAAATCAAGATGAAAACGATTGAGATTGATAACCTCAACACAAGCGGTTTATTGGTTTAATCAATATAATTAATCCCCCTTGGTTTATTAACCATGAAACGCATGCATTAATAACCCAAGTTTACTACCGTGAAAGGACCGAATTAATAACAAGCGTATTAATCGACCGATTCTAGTAATAATTAACATATGAAACAAAACTAGTTGATCCTTTAAGTAATGTTCAAAATATTAATATGAAATATGAATAGGAATTAATTAATATTCAAGAAAGAATATTAAAGAAGATGAATCCTACTATAGTTAATATCAAGATGTTAACTAATTGTCATCTTAGTAACACTCCCCAATATTAACATAGAGGAAGAAATAGCTATTACTATAACTAATGTCAAGATGTTAACTAATTGTCATCTTAGTAACACTCCCCAACATTGATATAGAAATAGTATTTAAAGGAAGAAGTAATATTCAAGGAAGAAGATTAAAGAGAATAACTCACAACTTACAAATTCATTAAGCTTCAAAGTAGCAAAACCAAGATGGAAGAGTTTAGCTCCTCATTTGGAGACTAAACATGATAAAAATATAAAGAAAGTACTTAACTAAACTGAGCTAAAGAGTATATGTGAATTGATTCTTTAGTGAAGAAAAAGTGTGCTATTTATAGGTGTTTTTCAACACCTTTGGCCGGGTACCCGACCGGGTAGAGTATCTACCCGACCGGGTACCGGTCCGAATCAAATATTTCCCACGTTCGAGTGTTCTTCAGCACGTCGGGTTGTCTTCGGTCAAGTCTCACCCGACCGGGTGAGGTATAGGGCCCGACCGGGCTAAGCAGTTTTCTGGAGATCGCAATTGTTAATTCAAACCCAACCGGGTGAAGGTTTCTACCCGGTCGGGTTTACACTCCTGGGCAGCATTCTCCTTATTTTTCTTCCTTTTCCTTGCCAATAATTCTACCAAAACTTCCTAACTCACAAATAAAAGCTAAAAATACTTACAAATAAAAGTAAACAAATGTTTACAACTACACACAAATGGTAAACAATCCACACAAAACAAGATATAAAAACACACATTTATGCACTACTAACTAGTGCATATCAGTAAGTGTAAAGAAGAATGTGAACCCGAGGGAGTATAAGTGAATAAGCAATTTTTTATTTTCTATTTCCTATTTTTAGAGCTTTCAATTCTTTTTTACTTGCATATTAACTTTTTCGTGATATCAATTGTTGTTATGTATCATTGGCTTTTTTGTGTCGGGGTGTTGCAGCTTTTACAAGGAAAGTACATATACCGTGAAGCAATTTTTGGTGAGGTATTTCGAGGATCGTAAGCAAGAGGGATACATTGTGCTTCAAGACCCATTATGGGAGTTCTATGATGCTATGAGTGTTGGTTTGGGAGGGACTGATTTTTTGGACATCGACTCCTTTTTTGAACTACCTCCTTCAACTTCAGGTGCTCACATCTATTAATGTATGTATTTTTAAGGGTTACATTTAGGTTTTCTATTCTGTTATCTGAATTTCGGGCTTCAGTCCATTGTGACTTGAAACAAGTTAAAAGAATTATCACTAAATTCAGCCAAATAATATATGAGCTCGGTTTAGTTCTAGCTTGAATTTGTTAGTTTTTAAAAAACATTGTAACATTGCATTATACACTTTTAATTTAGTTTGGTTTATCCGATGTCAGTGCAACTCAATTTAATATGATTAGGAAAAGGGAAAAATAATTAAATATCCCAAACTTTGAAGGAGTGTGAGATAAACACATCAAACCTTCATATGTAATTCAAATACCTCAACTTTATATATATATATATATATATATATATATATATTTTATCACATACCTCAATTTTATATAAAAAGTTATTTTAGCATCATTGTCATATATTATTTCCTTAAAAAATGTAACTTTATGGTGTTAATTGCATAAACAAATTACAAATTCTGCAATTATATAGAGTGGGGGTAGTATTTTTTTGTTTTACAATGGAAGTTTAGAATGTTATTTTCATCTTGATGAATGCTACAATGTTTTAAATTATGAAATTAACATAAAAAATGAACAATTTTGAAAGAAACAATACATGACCATGGGGCTAAAATAACCTTTTATGTAAAGTATGGGGTATTAAAATTACATATGCATGTTTGGGATGCTTACCTCACACACCTTCAAATTTTGGGGGGTATTTGAATTATGTTTCACTTAGGAAAAACAATATCAAAAGTAAAACTAAAGTGCATATTATTCGGACTACATTTTATTCAGATGAGTTTATGTCCCAATTTATAATTTAACTTTTTATGTTTTAGTGAAGAGAGGCACTGTGGATTTAGTGAAAAGTTTGGGATATAAGACAAACCATATGTTATGGTAGTATCATTTAACTCATTAGTTAGGCAAAAAATTTCTAGTCATACTAAAACTGCTTGCATTTTGTTACAATAGAATAATCTATTAAAATACGGAGATGAGTGTATTGTATGAAAATACACATTTTATAAACAAGTTAGTCGAAATAGCATATTTAACATTATTAGTGAATGTATCACAAAACTGATAAATAAATAAAAACCAACGTACAAGCACTTAAGGGTGACTCTCGTAATATTACTGACATTTTAATTCTTGAAAAACAGGTGGTGACCAACTGATGAATCAACCAGACATATCAAACCAAAACAATGCACTAGAGGATGAGAATAAATCCCAAAAGATCCCTCTTTCTGCTCAGAGGGAAAGAACTGGAAAGTTGAAGTTAAAAGACTTTGCAGGGTACCTTCATCTCCCCATAGAAGAAGCAGCAAGGAGAATGAACATTTGCCCTACAGTGATGAAGAAGATATGTAGGAGAGATGGGTTGGTGCGTTGGCCTTACAGAAAGGTGAGAAGCATCCAAAGGAAAATAGTGAACAAATCGAAGAGCTTATCTGCGAACGACGCCGAAGAGAGGAACTGTGCTCATGTTGAAATCCTAGAGCTTCAGCAACAACTCGCCAACATTTCTGAAGCATTCTTTGGTTGATTTGTGTATATATGTGCATTTATTTTTGTGGCAAAAATCGATTCTTTGAAAGGGTGTTTAAATAAAAATATAAATAAAAATAAAAATAAAAATAAAATAAAAATAAAAATAAAAATAAAAATGATATTAGTAGTTATAGTCATACTTAGGTGAAATGTAAACTGTAATCATTTCATAGTTTGTAAATATACATGTAATTATATTGTATGATTCAATTCATTCATTATTGTACTTCTATCACAAACAGATGTACAATATTGCAATTTGTGTGATTGGTACTAAAAATATACTATGTATCTATTTATTATTGTCTTTGTCTCGCTCAACTTTGAAATCAACTCTACATTCTCCTAAAAAAATTCAATTCTTCATTTTCTATTGTTTCATAAACTTTACAACTTACATTTCAAATGGGGTTCAAGTTATTTATTCTTCCCGTGCACATTTGCACATATATTAATCAAACAATTTTACTTTGATATTTCATGAGTAGACAGATGTGACACTCCAACATGTCAAAGGGAGTGTTCTTCTTTTAAAGTTATCATTTTGCTTTTAAAGTAGCTAATTTGTGATGTTTAACTTTTTCTTTTTCTTTTTCAGGGAAAATTTCAACAATATTATTTATATGATCTTGCTTCTTGTTTTGGTCAAATTTAACAAACTTCAAATCTCCAATGAGATTAAGGGAATATGATCATTACAAGGTAATTTGCTCAAATCACTTGCTTTCAATTATAACCTCCCAACTATATAATTAGCCTTGAATCATTTAGATTTATTTTAACCTTTTACTAATCTAGGGCCAAGGGTCACTTGTCCCACAACCTCCACCAACTCCTTATATATGTAATTTGCAATTAAAAACTAGGAATGGTTCATGTGGATCACATCCACACCTAAGATCCTCTCATGCGGGTGCTTTTGGATGCAAGTCACTAAAAAGGTTATTTGAAATTTTTTCACAAATGTTGGTCATTTAGTCCTCAATAGTTAGCTTGAGTAGTCGAACAATCAATGTTTTGTCTCGCCTTGAGCAAAAATGGTAAAGTTAGCTTTTAGTTTGAGAATACGAAGATGTTTAACAAATTTATGGCATTCACCTAGGAGCGGTGTTGGAAACCTAAGAACACATGAATCAATAAGTTAACAACACTAATTTCTTATGTGTTGTTGCACGGACGGGTGTGAACAACGAACACAGTGGATTATTCAATCGACTCAGATTTACTTATGTCAAGGTTATGGGTTGTTTTTTCAGAGCTCAAATTTACTTTGCCGATACTGGGATGAAATATTAACAAAAAATGTAACTTGCAATTAATTATATACACATTTGTTTAATCATGTTTATGCGCGATTACCTATTTTCACATATTACAAACACGTTCACTACAAAAAAACACGTCTGTAGTCACGGACGTTAGTCACGGATTTCGTCTGTGACTAGCCTAGTCACGGGCTAGCCACGGACTAGTCACTGATTTTTGAAAAAAAAATTAGTCACGGATTTGGCCGTGACTAAGTCCGTGACTACATAAATCCGTGACTACGAACCGTGACTAAAGTCCTCCGGTAGCCCCAACTCCGTCGCCGGTAAGTCCGTTTTTATTCCGGCGACTTAGTCACGGACTTATCCGTGACTACGTCCGTGACTAAAAAAAAATTAAATTTCCAGCGTTCAAAATTAATTTCGCAACGGCAACTTCTAAGGATTAATTTAGTCATGGAAAATTCTGTGACTAGGTCCGTGACTAGGTTTTTTATATAAATGAACCACACCAATTCATTCCATGTATATATAATACAGTATCTGTTTGAAAGATCGAAGGATGTAGTCCATCTTATGTCATTTTCCCTCTTTATGCAGATAATAAGGTATGTTATTTGAATTCTTTTTGTTTAGAATTAGTTGATTCAATTTAAAATTGGTTAGGTAAGCGTAGTTTTAAACGTAGTGATGCATTAAGTTAAATTAAGTAAAATTAGTTAGCTAAACGTAGGTTTTAAATAATTAAGTTAAATTAATTAGTTAAGTTAGTGTAGCTTTTGATAATATTAGTTAAATTCAAATACTAGTTAATTGTAATGTGTAGAAAAAAGGTTGGTAATTAATTAACGAATTGAATTAGTTAAAATTAGTTAAACGTAGGATTAATTTAAATGTAGTGTTAAATTACTTAATTTTTTAATAATATTAGTTAAATTTAAGTATTAGTTAATTCAAATGGGTATATATATATGTATATGTGTGTGTATGTATATATATATATATATATATATATATATATATATATATATATATATATATATATATATGGGAAAGATCAAGTACAAATTGTACTTATTGTGCAAATGTTTGTACGATGCACCTTGACGTTATTTACATTGCATATTAAGGTTCAAAGTGTTGCATATTATATAGTCATAAACTAGCAGTTACACATTAACTTTCAACGAGTTGCACCCTAGAAAAATTAGGTTTTATTACAAAAATGCTACCTTGCCTTTATATCCTTTAGATCAACTCATCGGATGGTCAAGATAAGTTTGTACTTTGTAAATTAAACATGGTTTGTATTTGATCTCTATTCTATATATATATATATATATATATATATATATATATATATATATATATATATGCTCAAATTATTAGATTTTATTATTAGCAATTAATGTTAATGCCTAAATTAGGATTTGTAATGGGTTAAGTTTTGATGAAAACATTACTTAGTTTTTGTGAATTGTTATTGTGAATTATTTGAAGTTCATTTAGTTTAGAATTGTTTATTGTGTATTATTAATTAGATTTTGATAATTTTAGTATTGTGAATTTCATTTAATTTAGTAAATTGTTTATTGTGTATTATTAATTAGATTTTGAAAATTTTTGTATTGTGAATTAATATAATTAACGTATTGTTTGTAGTTTAATAAAATTCATTGGAGGTTAGTTAATTTTAGTGAAATTTAATAAATAAATGTTCGTAAACATATCAAATTATTAGTAGATATAGTTATTTAATAATATTAATTGAACGTTATGTAATTGTAGTGCATTGAACTTTAGTAAAATTGAATATAATAATGCTCCTACGTATGAATTAGTGAAAATATTTAACATAACAAATTGTTGATAATGTTTATGATTTAAAGTTTTTAACCAATATATTTTTTATTCTTATAATATTCAGGCATAATGTATAAGCAAAATAGAAGTTGGATGTATGATAAAAATGCGGTATTGTACGGAATGCAATCAAATTTCCTCAATGGATGTGGGGAGTTTATTAAATTTGCACTTGAACACCCGGATTATATGAGTGGTGACAAAATCAGATGTCCATGTTCAAAGTGTAGAAATCTCAAATTTAAAGACCTAGAGGATGTTGGGTGGGATTTGTACGCGGAAGGTTTCATTCCCAATTATTATAATTAGACTTGTCATGGCGAACCTTTTGATCCATCTCTCGCTCCACGAATAGTAGGTTCATCTCGTAACGTCCCTAACGAGATGAGTGGGTGGGGAGACCGTGATCAAATGAAGTGGGACCAAATAATGGTATATGATGCATACGGTCCATCGATGTCTGAGTTCAACCCCCCACAACCATGTAACGATCCTCCTGAAGCCTCGACATCGTATCAAGCAGATGCGGATGAAAATCCGATATTTTATCAATCTTATGTGGATGAAGGTTTAGCTGAGAGATTTCAAGGTGTTTTAAAAGCTGCCGATCAGCCTCTGTATGCTGATTGTGAGGCATACTCTCAGCTATCCGTCGTTACAGAGTTTATGAACATAAAAGCTGAATACAATCTCCCTGAAACTTGCATGTCCAGAGTTTTGCAGTCAGTAGGAGGAATGCTACCGCGTGATCATACTCTCCCCGATTCATAATATATTACGAGATGAAGCAATTAATATCTAAATTGGGGCTTCCTTGTATCATAACCGATGGTATAAATAATATATTTTATGAAGTACCATGTTGTGTAACTTATTTTGAGGTGTAAAATATTAATTTCCAGCCAAAACTTTATAAATATCAGCAGAAACAGCCGATTCAGCCAATTCTAGTGTTACCAAATGGGCTCTAAGATTATCTCATGTTTACTCTCTGGTAAAGTGTGTGGTTGTAAATTATGCTTACTTTATTTTTACTTTATCAATTCAATATGAACTACATACATTCACTTTTCTTAATAATCGCAACACATTTTCGTGTCCCGATGTTAATGGGACGGAGGTACAAAGTACGTAGTACTCCATCCGTCCCGAATTATAAGATACTTTTCGGTTTACGATGTTTGACCGACGATAAAGCAAACGGATCCATGTCCGCACTCAAATTATTTTTAGAAAAAAAATTACATATTCTGAAACGTTATTAAACCCGCTACAAAACCAATTCAAACTAACTCAAGTTTTGATGTATAAAGTAAGAGATTAAGAGTGGTTTGTGTTGACCAAGTGAATAGTAAATATATCTTATAAAATGGGACAGAGGTGAATTGTTGTAGACATTTTTTTTTAAATTGTAGTGATTAAAATACTTATAACATTGATTAAAATAGTATGTAGTGACTGATGGAATAATAGTTGTGATGCCTATTATATTAGGCGACGATCATTTGGGATAAAAAATTAATGAGTGGAGTCCATGTCCATGTGAAATTAAAATTAATGCTGCATAAGTACTACGTATTTTATAATAGAAAGTTCCAACTGGTATGAAATACTTTTTTACTGTGAAATGTAGCTTGGAGTTTGAGAAAAATAGTCTTAATCTTGATTTTTTTTAATCTCAAGGTTGACTCTTGGAAGCTTTGATTGTAGTGTTGACCTTTGGTGTTGGAGTTTTGGACTTTGAACTTTGAAGTGGCTCAAAAACTAGCTCTTAAAGAAGGTAGATGGAAAAGATGCTCTTCTCAAGTATAGGAGAAAAAGGAATCTTTTAAACTTTCCCACACCTAAACTCCTTGGGAACTTTTGAGCCTATAAATATGAACCACTCTTTACTTAGTATTAAAAGGTGAATGAGAAGAGGGGAGATCTCGCGCACACAAGAATTTCGGCTTCTAGTTCAGAATCGAAAATTCGCACCCCCCCTGCGCGGGCGACCTGCGGGCACGATAGTCGTAAAATTCAGCCAGTTTCAAAAGACAATTTTGCCCCTCTTTTTTTTAACCTTAACCCGTTTTTTTAAACATTCTTCTGCCCGAGGAGCTGACAGGACGTAGTCACGTCGCCGACACTTCGTCCTCCGCGTGTCTGACTACGTTAACTACGACGGTTTAGTCACGGATATATATAAGTAACTACGCCCTTATATATAAGTAACACTTAGCGAATTTTTCATTTCACTCTTCAAAACCCTAAAACTCTCCCTCTCCCTTGATTTATGTATGATTCTTTAGTTTTGTATACATGTTTTGTGTAGAATGCATGTTTAATAATAAATTTCGAAATATGATTTAGTT